CCCCAAAACCCCAAAACCCCAAAACCCCTTCTTGCTAGAATTTTAATAATTAATAAGAATGTAAATTTATCTGATAACTAACGAGCTAAATAATATTACAATACTTTATATCACAATTAATCTGATTGCGATGTCTATAAGTCCTTATTAGCAATCTTAAATTTATCTAACTTTGAGTGAGAATAAAAGAACCTTAGCTCGTGTAGCTTAGCCAAAGATCAACTCATACAATCTTCGAACCAAAGATTCATCAAGATTAGATGATCTAGTCTCAGATGAAATACTTGACTAGCAGATGAGCACTGATATGATCAATAACATTAATAAGAAAAAGAGCTCATCAATATAAATCCCACGATTAAAACTCGGCAATAAATCTCAAAGTATTTAAGATTAAAAAGAGTCAGTTTATATGACCGAATGTGATAATGCTTACCAGTGAGCAGCAGTAATAGAATGGAATCAATTCCATGATAGCACCATTATCCCAAAAATAGACCCAAGAGTATAAGTAAATAAAGCAAAACTTGCAAGAGATTTGAAGATTACTTAAATGAATAAAACTAAAAGTTATTATGAACCTTATCAAGCAGCTACTAATGAATGCTCATAAATGTCCAATCATCATAGTAGCTTGATTAGTGAAAAGTATAAACGATTTATCACTCCTTTAATAAGGATTCCTAAAATAAACTCTAGTCCTTTAGTAATAGATAAAACATGGAGAGAAAATATACACAAGCGGCAAAAAAGTTTACAAATTATTGAGAGAAAAAACCTGAAACAGGTTTCAAGTGATTATATTCAATAGAATATTCAGTGATCTCGCAGTTTCTATAGATCAAAGCTTGTTTTACCATATAAAAATAATGAGGTAATACTCAAACCCCTTAATAAAGATGAAAAGACAGAAGAGCAAGTAAGAGTCAGGGATAAAAACTTTGAGACAGTTGTAAATGACTTAAACAAGATAAGTTATGACGCAGAATCTGCTATTTAAAAGGCCTATGATAGTTTAAGTTACATGAAAGCAGATAAATAGTCAATGAATACAAATGATAGATTATTCTAAAAAGGAATTCTATTCAGGAGCAAAATTAAGCATATTAACAATCAAATTGATGAAGTACTATCTAAGAGAATTGCTTCAACAATTCTTGAGAACTAAGCTTAAGACAATAAATTTGATATGAGTAAATTTCTCAATTCCCCAAAGGAGGCTAGAAAAAGGAAAATTACTAATGATTTTATGAATTCTGATGACTTGTTCAACTCAGGAGCTATCACTTCTTAAAGAAATTCTCAAAAGCAGAAACGAAAAGTAAGTGAGTACATTGATGAGTATATGACAAGTGAAAATAAAAATGATAAGAAAAGCTTGTACAGTCTAACAAAGAAAGAATTAGAAAAAGCTTAGAAAAAGATAAAGCAACTTTCCCAGAACGAGAATAGCTAAGTTTAGTAGAAGAAAAAAGTAAGGAAAGTTTAAGTTAAAACTGAGATTAACTAAGTTTACATAGTTGATTAAATCAAGGAAGAAGATTTTTCTAGAAATCATAAACAAATGTACCTGAATAACAAGAAAAATCTTCCACCGAGCAATATTCCATCGCAATAAAATCCGTACAGCTACATATGAAAATGAATACTTTATTTCATAATTTTTCCCATTTATCGCAAAGCAAAACAGAGTGTTGGGGTTTTGGGGTTTTGGGGTTTTGGGG